TAATTGGGTGGGATTTTATGTGGTTGTTTATTTACCAATATGCCTGTGTTTATGTGGCACTGAATTATTGCTTGTGAGACTGCCCTAAATTCCCTTAGGGGTGAGAAGGGCGAGGTACAAGTGTGATAAATAAATAAATAAATAACAGACATGACTTCTTTGTCTTTTAGACAGGTGTTGACTTAACTAAAGATAACATGGCTTTACAGAGAGTGAGAGAAGCCTCAGAAAAAGCAAAATGTGAACTCTCTTCTTCAGTCCAGGTGAGCAACTGTAAATATACTCCTGTCTTCATATCAGTAATTTTCAATATTGGATCTTTGGTTTCATCAGTTTGTGAGAGTAATTTAAAGCTGCCGCACAGTTCAATTGTAGCATTTTAAAGGCAAACTGATGTTTCTAGTGACTCTGTATTTGTGATTGGTGCTATGGCAAGAGCATTAATTGTTTAGATTCTCTCTGTTACGTCAGTAAAGTGGCAGGCACAGTGAGCTTGGAGTTATGATGATAGTAGCAACATGTGCTGTTATTGAGTCAAAAAACATGAGCAGTCTTGATTCTGAGTTTGATTGCTAAGAGTACTCATTGGTGGATCATTGAGATTGCTAGAGAGATTGTTTTAGCTCCCCTTTTAAAAAAATACCCCCCCCCCCCCAAATTTACTGAGGTATCTATTGAACTTTAACAACTGTAATAAATGCCTTATAGTTTGAAGTTTCATCTCTCATATGAATACAGAAGAGCAACACAGCAAATGTCTTGGAAGAATTGGGGCAAAGTCTACCGCTGTTCAAAGAAAGTTGGTTGATAATTACTTTATGCTTCATTTTTAATGTTGGCTTCTCCTTATCTTGCAGACGGACATCAACTTACCGTACCTTACAATGGATGCCTCAGGACCAAAGCACTTGAATATGAAACTGTCTCGTTCTCAGTTTGAAGGGATTGTGGCTGATCTCATCAAAAGGACAGTCGCACCTTGCCAGAAAGCCATGCAAGATGCTGAAGTCAGCAAAAGTGACATTGGAGAAGTTATCTTGGTGGGCGGTATGACCAGGATGCCAAAGGTATGCTGGATTCCCTGTGACTTGAGAAACTTGGATCCCATACTCTTGGAGTCAGTCGGGTGCCCTTTGGACCTGTCCGGCTACTAACACAATGTGTTAATAAGTGAAGAGGTTTGGCGAAAAAAAAAGATTAACTTTTGATACAGTTAAGAATCAGTTGCTTTCTTTGTGCATGCTATTTTTTACACCTTAAATCGAATTAGCTTTGATGTACGGTTTGCATTTTCAGATTGAAGGGCTGTTTGGAGAGTTTTCAGTTGCTCACAAGCACTTCTGTTTTAAGCAAAAGGGTGCTACAAAGACCTTTTGCAGGATTGGGCAATATACTCTCTTTTAGCACTGAAGCACTGGCTAGCAGCTTCCGTCAGGAAATTTCACTGATTGTAATGCAGAATGAAGAAAAGCATTTATGTCATGATAAGAGACCCATGTTTTTCAAGCTATCACCTTTTTCTTTTTAGGTTTCCCCACATTTCTCTTTACTGTTACACCTTTTGCTTGTAAATAAATATTTTGATCAAACTCTTACTGCCATATATTTGTCGTGCCCAGCACTTTTCAAAATGTGATTATATAAGGGTCACAATGAATCAAAATGAGCCCCCGGTGGCGTAGCGGATTAAACCGCTGAGTTGCTGAACTTGCTGACCAAAAGCTTGGCAGTTTGAATCCAGGGAGTGGGGTGAGCTCCCGCTGTTAGGCCCAGCTTTTGCCAACCTAGCAGTTCAAAAACATGCAAATGTGAGTAGATCAATAGGTACCCTTTCTGCAGGAAAGTAACTGCTCCATGCAGTCATGCTGGCCACATGACCTTGGAGGTGTCTACGGACAACACCGACTCTTCAGCTTAGAAATGGAGATGAGCACCACACCCCAGAGTCGGACACGATTAGACTTAATGTCAGAGGAAGCCTTTACCTTACTTATGAGTCAAAAAAGTGAAAATTCCCTAATGTTTTCTATCTGTGGATATATGTGATAGCTATGTTTGTCTCCTGTAAGATATAGTGGTTGTCTTACATATTGAATCTTAAAGCTTCTGCTCCTTTTTAGTAATTGTATATTGCCATTGTGAGAAGACACTGCTGATTTGTATTGTAGGACAAATTGGAGACGCACTTTTGAATATTGTGTTAATGTTCTGTGCGTGTTCATTCAGGTGCAGCAGACTGTACAGGACATGTTTGGTCGTGCTCCTAGCAAAGCAGTCAATCCTGACGAGGCTGTTGCTATTGGTGCTGCCATCCAAGGAGGTGTCTTAGCTGGCGATGTTACTGATGTGCTCCTACTGGATGTGACTCCTCTTTCTCTGGGAATTGAAACACTTGGCGGTGTGTTTACTAAGCTCATCAACAGAAACACAACTATTCCAACCAAGAAGAGTCAGGTGAGAGGGACAGTGTTCTAGATATTGCTTAATCTGATATGTCCATTTGTGCTTTTCTGTACCCCTTCACAGTATTTATTGCACTTCCTTTTCTTCTGTCCCTTTCATCTATTATTAAAAGCACATTTATCCTGCTTTATCAGCTGAAAGTTTTATAGAATGGCTTGCACATAATCAGTGAAATCAAATTCATTGCCTTTAGCGTAAAAGAAACATCAAAAAAGGGGAAAAGAGAGGTTTCCAAACCAGTTCCTAAGGCTAAGTTGTAGTTCTTGTAATGTCTATCTGAAATGGGTTTTGGAGGACTGGTGCAGCAAACCTCGTCTTTTCAGTAGAATACTTCAAGTGATTTTGCTTCTTTTTCCTCTGTCAGGCTGGTGTTAGATGATGACAGGATTTTACCCAGAACACTTACAGTTGTGATACAGTAATCTGTAACTATTGTGATTTTTTTGTAACTTTTTACGTATGTCATACAACACACCTATTGTGTTATTCCGCAATGACAGATTTCATGACATAATCATTAGATTGTGGCTGGTAGCCTATAGAAGAATCTCACATAAGAGGTGTGAGATAGAGGCAATGTTGATGTGCCATTAGGAGCACTGCCTTATTTTATGACAGCAAAGTAATAAAATTTAATTAATTGTTAATTTGTGTATTACTCCCCACCAACTAACAGAATGGAGACGTTGAGGTAGCATAATACAACTAAAGAAATTTCTAGGTTCCTTTTGGCTTGACTGTCTTAAGTCTTTTGTCTTTGCCTCCCACTGTTTAGTTATACAACACAGTCACAAACGTTACTAGAATCAAATGTGTTTCTCTTTCATAGGTATTTTCTACAGCTGCAGATGGACAGACTCAGGTGGAAATCAAAGTCCATCAGGGCGAGAGAGAAATGGCTACGGACAACAAACTGCTTGGTCAATTTACTTTGGTACGTTAATGTCTAATGTGGAGGCATTTTTCTACACTAATAACTATAATATCGTGGAAGGTTAATTCACTCTGCCTATTAGGTTGGCAGGATATCTCTCTGAAGCACCATAAGTGATTCCTGTAGTAGAAACAGTATCTAAAAGCCGGTTCCCATTTGTTAAGTTTAGCTTTCAAAAATATTTGAACTACTATTATGCATGTTTTGTTAAACCATGCAGATTTTAAAATGGCTCTAGCAGGTGTTATCTCGGTGTTGCTTTTCCTAATATAAATTGTAGTATCTGCCCAAGTACCATCTGTACCTCACTCAAATGGGAGTGCGTAGTTATAGCAGGAGCTATTTTATACTAGTTCAAAGTATTGTTCCTGCTAATTCAACACTGCCTTTTTCTTATTGGCAGAAATTCATCAAAATTTAATTAGAGGTGCCCCAGTGACTGCCTAAGACTTTTTGCATGGGAAATTGGAGGGGTACCCTTGTACTTCAATTCTCCTCCAGTTTAGCCGTGGTCAACAAATGTGTTTTCATTTGTTTTTGTTACTGTTTGGATCAAGGCATGGTATTTTTGCCACCTATCCAAGGTTGTTTAGTTGGCCTTAATTAGCTTACTTGACTATGTTACCAGTTTTCTTGAAATTCTTAGGGGAAAGGGATGAGTAAAGTAGCAGCCCCCATTAATAAATAAGTTGAAGACACATTCAAGCCCAGAATGCTCATGGCTTCAGATTAATAACTGAGACTTCTTCGGAGTTATCAAGAGAATACTTTGCGTTTCCAGGTTGGAATTCCACCAGCTCCAAGGGGAGTCCCCCAGATTGAGGTGACTTTTGACATTGATGCCAATGGAATTGTTCACGTGTCTGCAAAAGATAAAGGCACAGGACGAGAGCAACAGAGTGAGTGCATAGATGTTTGTTTGTTTATTTATTTATTTATTTGCTATACTTGTATACCGCTGCTTCTCAGCCTAGCCGGCGACTCAGCGCGGTTTACAACAAAATATAACAATCGGCAATATACAGTTTAAAAGCATAAAAACATAATACACAATACATATATCCTATCACAATTCCACATAATACACAATACATATATCCTATCACAATGTTTGCTTCTCTAAAGGGGAGAACAGATTACCAATATTGGTGTTGCAATCTAGTGTTTTTGGTAATAATCCATAAACACACACTTAAAAGGCTGAGCCAAGAATAATCTAGAACAGGGGTGGGGAAAAATACAACCAGTGTATCACATGTGGCCATTTTGCTGATCCCAGTTTTATTTATTTTTTTTATAAATTTTATTTAGGAGGTAAATGTGATTAAAACAGAAAAGAAATAAATTACCAGAAAATGTGGCAACTTATCTTGTGCCCTCCACCACTCCTAAAAACTAGAATAATCTGCCATATTTCAGTTAATGACTGGAAAGGTCATGACTTTACTTCTAGTTTCATTGGAAATGACTGTGCGGCTTGTAAATAGCAGTGGGGAAGATGCTCCCACTATCCCCCTACTTTAGAAGGAAGCTTCAAACAACGTTTCCAGTCTGATGAACTAGTTGTCTGAACTTTGGTTACGGGCCAGTACCTGATTAGTGTGTGCTGTGATGCAATTATATCAACGCCTCATTCTGAAAAGTTGTGTGGAAGATTGATAACTGAGCATGCACCATTAGGAAGCTGGCCTCCAAGGGGTTTGGGAGTATGGAATTTGCCCCTAATGATTACGGAACATAAAAGATGTTAAAAAGGGCTAGGTTATGCAAGAAGGACATGGTACTTAAAGTAAAGATGGGCTGTCATTTTCACTCTTTTCCAATAAATAAATGCTAATGGTGGAGGTCATGGGACTGTGTCTTTGTTGCCATCGGTATTGTCTTAAACTATACATGTGGAACCAGAATTCTAGAGAGGTAGGCCGCTCATTAGCTGTGTTCACAATGTGTAGACACTGATGAATGCCTGGTACCTCCATTTAAATGAGAGCACAAATTGCTACTAATGATTGTTAGTTGTTAACCCAGGTCAAGTTTTGCCACCATAACATCTTTCAGACGTATTGGACTACAATTTGCAGTCAGCCATTCTAGTTGGAATTGTGATAGGATTTATAGTCCAAGGTAGTTGAAGGGTGAGAAAGACTAAACATTGGAGGAAGGGATTAGCTTGGCTAGTAGGTAAATCTTTTACCAGTAGAGTGTGTTCCTCCTGTTTAATCTTGGTACTTTGAGGGACTAGAGATAAACAGTGTATTCTTTTTTCACATTTCTGTAGTTGTGATACAGTCTTCTGGTGGTCTTAGCAAAGATGATATTGAAAATATGGTGAAGAATGCTGAGAAATATGCAGAAGAAGACAGGCGAAAAAAGGTAATGTTATCAGGATGCCAAATAAAAAGTCAGTAGCCTGTGCCTCATGATCACATTTTGCAATAGATTATTTTTGTAGTAATTCCAAGGGCAATATCAGGCTATACTCACTAATCTTCAAAGAACATTTTAAAACATCTATGAGTTATGTACAGAAGAGTTATGTAGCTTATGAGCTAATGGTTTCTTCATTTCTTTGAGAATAGCAAAATGGCACACAGTTCCATATTTGTGATGATGTAATAATACTAATAATAATTTATATTCCATCACCATCTCCCAAAAGGGATTCAGGGCAGCTTACAAAAGCACGTGATAGTGCTGTAAAATACAGAGCATACAATAAAATCAATAACAATGGCAATATACATAACAACATACATAAAACAGTATATAAAACCCCTACTGAATTACCACCGACACCTGAACTTTAAGCATCAACTATGAATTCAGAAGGACCCCTCAGACTGCGGACCTGGATCCTCAGGAGGAGTGTAATGCTGTCGAGTACAGGATGCCACCCTATACCCCGATCGACCTTGCAACTGACCAGGAGGACTTCTGTCTTGTCTGGATTAAGCCTCAGCTTGTTGGCCCTCATCCAGTCCATCACAGCTGCCAGACACCGTTCCAGGATCCAGGAAGCTTCCTTGGAATTAGGTGGAAAAAAGTAGTTGAATGTAATTTGCATACAGATGACACCCAACACTAAACTCCGGATGACCTCACCTAGCGATTTCATGTAAATGTTAAAGAGCATAGGGGGAAGAATCGAACCTTGCTGGACCCCACAGGTCATTGTCCAGGGGTCTGAGCAGGTGTGCCCCAGTATCACCATCTGGGTTCAATACTCCACGAAGGAGCGGAGCCACTGCAAAGCAGTGCTCCCAAGACCCATTCTGGAGAACCAACCCAGAAGGATACCATGGTTGATGGTATTAAAAGCCGCTGAGATTCCAAAGATAACCTGGAGGGACACACTCCCCCTGTCTAGTTCTCTGCGGAGGTCATCCACCAAGGTGACCAAAGCTGTCTCAGTTCCATGACCAGGCCTAAAACCAGGCTATGAAGAATCAAGATAATCGACTCCAGAACCTTGCCCAAAAAGGGGAGATTAGAAATGGGCCAGTGGTTATTTAATATTGAGGAGTCAAGGGACAGCTTCTTTAAAATAGGTCTTACTGTTGCTTATTTAAAGGTAGATGGTAATTGTCCCTGCTCCAACAAGGCGTTGATAATTCTCGTAAACCACTCAGCCAATCCCCCACTGGCAAATTTCATACACACAAGTCAATCATATATAAATCGCAACCACTATACACCATGATGAATTTGGCTTTGGAACGGAAATTTTCCAGCTTTCATGGTTATATAATGTATATCCTATATATAGCTTCAGCAAAAGTAGAGATAAAAGCATCACAATTAAATAATAGTCTGATCAAATAAACAGTAACATCAAATTGCTCCAATCCAAAACTACTAACATTAGCTGGTCTTAAAAGCCAGGGGAAATTAACAGGTTCATAATAACTATTTTCTACTAACAGAATTACTAGCTGGAACATTGAACTGATGGTATGAAAATATCATCGTGAATTACTTAAGTATTCATTATATCCCGATTAATATATGGGAATATTATCCCTGCTTTGAATAAGTAGTTGTGATTTTGGCAATATCTGTAATTTACTTAAAAAAATCTGATGTCATGACAACATAATATACCAATTTTACATCCAATGCCACTAGGAATGACTTTGGAAAACCAGAATCTCCTCTCTGTGTAAAGTATCTATCACCAAAGTAGTTTAAAATTACAAGCTCTGTTTTCCCACATAGTCTAGAACAGTGATCCTCAACCTGTGGGTCCCCAGATGTTTTGGCCTTCAACTCCTACAAATCTTAATACCTGGTAAACTGGCCGGGATTTCTGGGAGTTGTAGGCTAAAACACCTGGGGATACACAGGCTGAGAACCACTGGTCTAGAAGATAGTCTGCCTGTAAATAAATCTTATACAATGTAAACATTACCATCTGTTGGGCACATGCCTCCCACCATTAACTAGATATTGTCACTTTTTTTCTTGCACTTACCCTGGCCTCCTGATTAGGAAGTCATGAAAAGTTCACATCTCCAAGTTCATGGAGGCAGAGTGGTTGTTCGTTGTTGTTTTTTTTTTTTTTTTTTTTTTTACAATCACATTTCTATTCATACAAGCATGCTGAGATTTGACAGAAGATGCTTATGGAAAACTGCACCCTATATATATGCAAATGATGTCTAGTTCCTTGTGACCCCATTGACAAAAGAGATTTTTAAGTATTTTGCACACTATCTTACAAGAGTTCTGTTTTTAGGAACGTGTTGAAGCTGTGAACATGGCAGAAGGAATTATTCATGATACAGAATCCAAGATGGAAGAATTTAAAGATCAGTTGCCAGCTGATGAGGTTGGTATCATCTGATTCTTTTTGGTAAAAGGGTTGTTGTTCTTTGTCTTCATTTGGTAATTAATGTGTATGGATGTGATTCACCTTGAGTTCATGTGTTTGCTTGTTTTAGTTCTTTCAGAACTTAAAGATAGTGAGCAGATTTTTAAGTAAATCATTATCTTTATAGCAATCCTAGAAAACATGCTAAATACCTGACAATATAAATGGAGATAATGCCCCTTGTATGTGGAAAAAGTGCTGGAAAAGGCGGGAAAAGAAGCTATCTTGATTATTCAAATGGTGTGTATGGGAAAGGGAACTTTCCAGTGCTGTTCTGTCAACAGCTACTGATATCACCTGAATTCATAATCCCTGCCTTGAATGTATAAAATTTGGTAAACTACAATTCAATCAAATACAAACGAAGCGCGATAGACTACTGTTTGTATTTGTAGTACACATAGTCTCTCTTCTGCAGAGCCCCTTCCGGATTCGTGCTGCAGGTAGGGGAGCAGGGATACTGGCACATGATACAGTGGATGGTGTAGTGCCACATTCTTCTTTGTGCTACCATTCCCAAAAGCAGCAAGGCAAAGCTGTTTAGGAGTTTCTTTGTAGTACAGCAGAGGTGTAGACTTTAGTCATCAACAAGAGAAATATATGCAGAGCCCTTCACTACTGGAAATGTGATTTGCTATGGTTTGCTTGATTAATGTTGCAATTTGCTGCCTTTGACAGAGAACTGAAATAGTAACTGGTGTGTTTTCTGACTCTGCTTTTTAGTGCAACAAACTGAAAGAAGAAATTGCGAAAATGAGAGAGCTGTTGGCTCGTAAAGATAGTGAAACAGGCGAGAACATCAGGCAGGCAGCAACCACTTTACAGCAAGCGTCCCTGAAACTTTTTGAAATGGCCTACAAGAAGGTAAGATAGCAACATCTTGGAGAATTGAGTGGACAGGGGAGGATGGAGGTGGTTTTGAACCTAGAAGTGTCGGGGCTTATGGTCTTAACACCCCCCCCAACCCCCCAGTTCAGTCTGCTTTTGAGTGCCTGCAAGTCCCTTGTTCCCTGCCCTCCCAGCTTGAAAGGGAAGCCAATACACAGCTGAGAGAAAAGAGAACAGGTTGGCTGTTGTTTCTTTCAGACTTGTACTAATGCCTATTGGATGCTGGAAATGTAGTTTGGAGATAGCCATGGGGTGTGTATGTCCTTATAAGGTGGTCTGGGGGAGGGAACTATCTCCCATCCAAGATAAAATCACATAGACACAAATCTCTACAACATTGGAGAGAGTGAGTATAATGATGCTAATCCCAGTAGCTCGAGAACACCAGGTTTAGGTAATTTTTTTTTAAAAAAAAATATTACCACCTGCCATAGTATCATTTGTATATTTGTGAATCCTACCTTCCTTCAAGGGCCCCCTGGTGGTGCAGCAGGTTAAACCACTGAGCTGCTAAACTAGCTGACCAAAAGGTCGGCAGTTTGAATCCGGGGAGGGGAGTAAGCTCTCACTCTTAGCCCTAGCTTCTACCAACCTAGCAGTTTGAAAACATGAAAATGTAAGTAGATCAATAGGTACTGTTTCTGCAGAAATGTTACAGCGTTCCATTTAGTCATGCCGGCCACATGACCTTGGAGGTGTCTATGGACAATGCCAGCTCTTTGGCTTAGAAATGGAGATAAGCACCATCCCCCAGAGTTGGACTCAGCTAGACTTAATGTAAGGGGAAACCTTTACCTTTTTACCTCTCCTCATTTTATCTCAGAGCATCATGTAGATATATTCCGAATTTAACATCAAGCCAGGATTTCCGTCTGTCTTCACAAAAGCTTGCATCGTTTATGAGGTCTCAGGA